AGCTGATCCCTGGAAAGGATATAGTAGTAGGAGAGAACCTACTCCCACAGGCTAATTTCTAAATAGTCTCCAAATCTTCATTCAAGTTCTATGGTACACACACACACACACACACACACACACACACACACACACACACACACACAAGACCAGTAAAAACAACAAAATAGAAAGAAACATACTGCAGAGAGTGAGAACTCTTAATTGGAAACATTTACACCCTGAGAGCCAGAGATAAGCAAAAAAAAAATGTGAGAAACTTCGCAATTATTGTGCTCAAAATAACCAAACAAGAAAAGCAAAGAAAAAATACTCAATGAAAGAATAATGCAGAATCATCTGTCGCACTGATTCTAATTGCTCCTAATAATAAAAACCCAGAGACAGAGATTGGGGTTAAAGCTGAAGATCAGAGAAGCAGAGCGGCCGGCCACTAGAGAGTTCTCATTTCTACCAATGCTCAGACTGAAAGAGCAATCCTGCCCTCAGACTGCATCTCCAGACTGCTTCTGTCTCCACCAGACTGCACTGAGCTCCTGTCTCCTCCTGCTTTATAGTCCTATCTAGTGTTGGGATTAAAGGTGTGACATCTCAAGGGATGAGATCACCTTTGTGTGAGCTCTGTTTCTCTTTAGACTGCATCAATTTCATGTAGCTCAGGGTGGCTTGAACTCACAGAAATCCATCTGCCTCTCTCTTGAATTAAAGGTATGTGGGACACCACTGCCTGGTCTCTATGGCTAACTAGTGTGGCTAGCCTCGCACTCTGATTTTCAGGCAAGGTTTATTTGTTATATCATAAACAAAATATCACCACAGTCATTAGAAGAAAGAACAGATAGGATTTGAGCTGGGGATATAGTTCAGTTGTTTGAGTGTTTGTCTAGTCTTCACAAAGCCATGGTTGGGTTGTATCCCCACTTGGGGTGGAAGCAGGCACTGAGCATAGTCAGGCACACTAGCAATCCCAGCACTTAGAGGTGGAGGCAGGAAGGCCAGAGTTCAAAGTCACACTTGTCTGAAAAGTGAACTCAAGGCCAGTCTGAGCTATACCAGACCCCATTTTAAAGAAGAAAAAAAAGGAAAGGAAAAAAAGCAGATATGGTGGTACCCTGGATACAATTCATAGTATTACATCAAAATGTCTCAATTGTAGAACTTTAAAAACTTAGTTATATCAGAAACACGGCTGCAAAGAGAATAGATTGAAAATGTGTCAGAGAAGTTACCTATAAGGTAACACAAATCAATAAATACAGTAAACATGGGGATCTATAGGGAATATTTAGAAAACAAAAGAGAAATCAGATGTGGTGTGGCCCTGAGTGCCTTCCCAGCAACCAAATAAGTAAATACATAGATAGATAGATAGATAGATAGATAGATAGATAGATAGATAGATAGATGATAGATAGATAGATAGATAGATAGGAAAAAGTGCATTTACTCAATTATGCAAAAAGAAAAACAAACCAAAGATTAATTTAATGGACCAACCTTGATAGTTCACACCTGTAGGCAGGATTCGGGAAAAAAGGTGGCTGTCTTAGGGTTTCTATTGGTGTGAAGAGACACCAGGATAACAGCAACTCTTACAAATTAAAATATTTAATTGAGGAGACTCACTTACACTTTCAGAGGTTAAGTCCATTATTACCAAGACATGCAGGGTACAGGGTCACATGGTGCTGGAGGAGTAGCTGAGAGTTCTACATCTTGTAGGCAACAAGAAATGGACTGGGACATTGGCTGGTATCCTCAGCATAAGAAACCTCAAAGCCCACCTCCACAGCAACACACTTCCTCCAAAAAGGCCATACCTATTCCAACAAAGCCACATCTCCTAATACTGCCACTCCCCTATAAGAGTATGGTGGCCAGTTATATTCAAACTACTACAATGGCAAATGAAAATATTCAGAAGACTGAAGGGATCTGCTGTCAATTCTGATGACCTGAGTTCCATCCCTGAAACCCATGTGGTGTAAGGACAAAACCAACATGTATGGGTTGCCTCTAACTTTTACAATCACAATGTGGAACACACACACACAAATAGAGGGAAATTTAATAAATAAATATAACAACAGGAGGCAGAAGCTCTGTGAGTTCAAGACTAGCCTGATATGCATAGTTACCTCCAGGATAGCCAGGGCTACAAAGACAAACCCTGTCTCAGAAATATTAATAAACAAATAAAATAAAATACAGCAAATACAATTTATGATAGGCTGAAGATGTAGCTTTAAAAGAAAAAGAAAAAGGGGAGGGAGGAATGAGTAGGAGAGATTGTCTGGGGTCATGCGGATGTTGAGGAAAGAATAGAAGAATGAGAACAAGAAGATGGTCATCTCTGAGCACACCTTTGTATATAATTATGGTTTTCTAAAAGATGTAAATGTTTACATATTTCAAAATATGTAAGTGAATGAAACCAGGAAACCTAAGGTGAAATACAAAGAGAAGTTAAAATCTTTGTGGTTTTCTTGTTTTTATTTTATTTTTTTTTGATAGGCTCTTTTATAACGCTTTAGCTGACCTAGACCTTGCTCCATAGACCATCTGGATTCATGGCTGCACTGATCCTCCTGCCTCTGCCTCTCAAGTGATGGCAGTACTGATATTTACTACATGACTCCCTAAATCATATTTCAGCCCCATGCTGTAAGCAACTGAGCTAAACAGCTGGTGTTAAATCATATTTCAAATGAACAATGTAACCACATTTGGGGAGAAAGGATTGCAGCAAAGAACATTTGACCCTCTGCCCTCAGGTTAAACAAATATTGGCTTCTAGCTAGTAGACTTTGATTTCACACAAATATGGAGTAGCCCTTTTGAAAGTAATTTATTTGCATTCTAAGATAATTGAATTAGTAAATAGACATAAGTCATAGGAGTGAGACTTCTCACTGGCAAAGAAAGGAGTTACAGATACACAGAAAAGAAAAATTTAGAAAGACTCATTCAAAGAATCAAAATCAGAATTCTCACTATAAACAGTGCCTTCAAAATGAGGTTGGGGGTGTAAGAGAAGTTTTTGTTGGGGCCCCCCACCCCACCCCCACCAGCTCCCAAACAACCACACAGAGAATTCATAATATTAATTATAAATACTCAGCCAATAGCTTAGGCTTGTTACTAACTAGCTCTTACACTTAAACTAAACCATATTTCTTATCTAAGTTCTACCAAGAGGCTCATAGTTTTTTACCGCATTTTCTACATGTACTGTCTCCACTGAGACTGGCTCAAAACTCCTCAGACTCTGCCCTTCTTCCCAGCATCCTCCTAGTCTATTCCTGCCTAATCTATTCCTGCCCAGCTATAGGCCAGTCAGCTCTTTAGTGATGAGAGTAATACATATTTACAATGTACAAAGATTGTTCCACAGACTTTCCCCCTTTTTGTTTAGTTAGAAAGGAAGGTTTTAAAATTAACATAGTAAAATTATATACACAAAAATTACAGTTACAATATCCAGTCTATTTGTATTTTTCAAAATTAGAGAAAATACTCTATTATTTATCTTTGTGAATCTAAAGTTTTATACCTAATTTACCTTTTATCATAACTAAGGAAAACTCTAAGTCTAATTATTTAGTCTTTAATTTTATCAAAGACCCCAGAAAGAATATTACCTAACAAAAGGAACATCTGACTGTCTGAACAGTTAGCCAAAGTTCTTCTGTAATGTTGAGGCATCCATCTTTGACCTATATGGACCCAACATTTCTGAGAAACAGGGAATTTGAAGAACTGTCCTACCTCACATTGGCAAAGTTTGGAATCATTTTGTTTTGTTGGGTTTTTGTATGATTTTTTTTTTCATCCTGCTGGTCCAGTTTGGACTGGAAGCAATTGAAACAAAGGTAGTTTTTTCCTACAAATGACTAGCTTTTGCCATAAAGAAAATACACCCCATCATCTTCTTTGAAGTAAATTGGTGCTACCAGGAGCAAATGTGTCTCACTGTCAAGAAAAGCCTTATGTTATTAAAACATTTTAAATGCTACCCACAGAATCAGCTAGCCAGAGCTAGTGAGAGATCACTGACTCAGATCTGACAAATGGGGAACCTGCATAAGAGTGAACTAGACTTCCTTAATATAGGTGACAATGGTGTGACTGGGAAAATATATGAGGCCACTGGCTGTGGGTCCAAGATCTAACACTAATACACAAACTGACTTAGTGGAGCCCATTCTATGTGGAGAGATACCCTGTTCAGCCTAGATTCAGAGGTGTGGTGGGTGGGGAGGGGCCTTGGTCCTGCCTCAATGAGACGATGGGACAGACATAGTAGACTTCCTAGAAGAGGCCTTACCCTCTCCAAAGAGCAGATAGGAGGTAGGAGGAAGTTGGGGGGGGCAAGAGGAGAGGAGGAAGGGGGAAGTAGAATTGGAATTTAAAATGTAAACTAATAAAAAATTTTAAAAAACATTTTAAACGCCATCTTCTGTAAGTCTTTGAAGTGTTTGAAGACAACCTATCTAAATTTATCTGTTTAACCTTGAAAACATACTAACATGACTATAAGTTTGATTATTATAAATGATTAACTACTAATCTGTATTTCTTAGTTATATATTACATTTTTTTTGTTTTGTTTTTCAAGACAGAGTTTCTCTGTATTGTTTTGGAAGCTGTCCTGGAACTCGCTCAGTAGAGCAGGCTTGGTCTCGAACTCACAGAGATCCGCCTGCCTCTGCCTCCCAAGTGCTGGGATCAAAGGTGTGTGCCACCGGTCTCCCCCCCCTCCCCTCCCGACACCCGCCGTCCGCTAGGGCTGCCACTTCCGCCGTGGCACGGCGAGTGGGGGCGGAGGCGGCCGGCCCGGCCTGTCGGTTACGGGCGGCGCAGCTGGGGGTCGGCACCTGAGGGAAGGTCCCCAGCACCATCGCCCGCTGTGGAGGAACCGGGCCGGGGCTCTGGCCTCGCAGATCCAGTCCCAGGAGGGTAGACCCCTCCATGTCCCACCACTCATTATTCACAACAACAACGTCAGACGCTTTGAGCGTTGTACAGCTTATCTGTTGTCATCTCATTTGCTCCTCCCAGTCTACGGCTAGGGAAACTGAGATTTACCAACAGCATGAATCAAGAAAAGTTAGCCAAACTTCAAGCTCAGGTCCGGATAGGGGGCAAGGGCACAGCTCGCAGAAAGAAGGTGGTACATAGGACAGCTACCACTGATGACAAAAAGCTTCAGAGTTCTTTAAAGAAACTGGCTGTGAACAATATAGCTGGTATTGAAGAGGTGAACATGATTAAAGATGATGGAACAGTCATTCATTTCAATAACCCCAAAGTCCAAGCTTCCCTCTCCGCTAACACCTTTGCAATTACTGGTCATGCAGAAGCCAAACCAATCACAGAAATGCTTCCTGGAATATTAAGTCAGCTTGGTGCTGACAGCTTAACAAGCCTTAGAAAGTTAGCTGAACAGTTCCCACGACAAGTATTGGATAGTAAAGCACCGAAACCAGAGGACATTGATGAAGAGGATGATGATGTTCCAGATCTTGTAGAAAATTTTGATGAAGCATCGAAAAATGAAGCTAACTAAAAATCCTCTGGGTTTTGGAAGCTGGCATGGACTAGATTTAACAATCAGCTCTGTTGTTCCAAAGTTTTACAGACACGGAGAACATCACCTGTTACTAGTTCAGTAATATAAATATTTTGTATATTAATAATGCTGTTTGTTCAGCATTTCTTGGTCATTTGATTTTGCATTTTGCACTTCTTCCCAGGATCTATTCTTTTGGTCAAAATATGAAGTATTGGTACAGTTTGAGGGTGGTTTTTTGTTTTTGGGGGGAATTTTTGGTGTGTATGTATATGTATGTATGTGGGTATGTGTGTACACAGTGGACAGCCAATTGGTAACCGTTATATCTACCCTTCTCCTTTCCCCACTCTATAAAACAAATCTTTACATTAAAAAAAAGGTGTGTGCCACCAACACCCCACCATATATTACATTTTTAAATGAGCTGCTATAAGCACAATACCCCAAACAAGAGCAGAAACATACATGCATGCATACATATATACATACATACGATATACCAAAAATAACCTTCAATATACCACAAACAACCTTTGTATTAATAAACCAAAATCCAAAATATTTTGAGATTGATAGTTGTTTTTTGGATTAAAGTAGATTCAATAATCTACTCGTTTGTTTCCTACCATTCTTATATCCCCCCTTTTTTCCTTTAGAAAGAGATCTTTGAATTGAACTCTTTTGCTTAGCTTTTTTTCTGACTGTGACCAATAACAACTTGTAACCAACTCCCTTTAAATGATGATGAACATCCATAACCAATCTTTTGAGTAAGTGTGCATGGTTTTTTCCAGAGTGTTTCCTGTTGTCTAGGGCCACTGGAAATTTGGGGAAGGAACCTTGATAAAATCAAGATAATTGTTACGTCTTAGCTGGAGTAGTTTGTGAGGCTGGACCATCTCAGCCAGCAACCTGGATGCAGAATTCTGAGGAAACTGCAACAGAGGCATTTTGAGAGGCTGGATCACTTAGGTTAATTGTCTTTATTGGTGTCTGGTCCCTTGTTCTGAAAATTCATAACCTTTTAAAGGTAACATACATATCTGCATCAATACAATTATAGACTGTGTGTTGCACACAAGTTAGCCAGAGATGATTTTTTGTTTGATATTTGAACAGGTAAAATATGCATCATGTATTTTGTAGTTTTTATTTCTTCATGTCTGTAGCCAGAATTTTCAGGGGGTCTTCCTCAATCAAACCTGATCCATATCAACCCAGGATGAATCCACAGCCTCTCTTTTCCTGTAGAAATTTATTTACTGTAGAAATAAAAACAGCCTCTTCCCCAAAGTGACATACCTTTTGATTTCCATTTGAAGTCAAGATTTGTTTAATATATAGGCTGGTTTAATCTGGCAGCTTTCATAATCCAGTATCTGTTAGCATCTATTGCTCATTCATCAGAATCAAACAATTGAAAGACAAAACAATAACAGGATCAAGACTCTCTGTATATTTCCCATATTTACATGGCTCATTTTCTTATTACTTCATTCCTCTTTAAGAATTTTATTATTCTTAAACTATTTTTTAATCTATGACTATATATATCTTTTCTCTTTTCTCTCCCAAGCTTATGTATATTTTTAAACACACTCTAACCTGTTTAGAGTTTTTTTTTCATCTAGATCTGTGTTTACTCAGCATCTGTATTATTTTTTGATCACATGAGATGAATCTTAAATTGTTATGTTGGCCACTGGCACTGCTCAGTTTACACATGGTGCTAGTGCGTGGCAGTTGGTGGCCAGCTCCATCTCATGGGCAGTGGCCAGGAGATGCCTTCCTGTACTGCAGTCTGAGAGACACAAAACTTCGAAGCCGCACTTGGCTCCATTTTTATGTGTTTGGAACTTTTACTTAAGCTTTCTCAGGTTTTATGTGGGCGTAGGTTGCCCCAAGTGGGCACCATGAACTGGCCAGTTCACAAATAACCACACAGAGTCTTAATATTAATTATAAATGCTCAGGCAATAGCTTAAGCTTGTTACTAACTAGCTCTTACAACTTAAATTAACCCACATTTCTTATCTAAGTTCCACAACGCGGCTCGTGGCTTGTTATGTCATTTTCTATACATCCTGCTTCCTCTGCATCTGTTGGTGCCTCCTCAGACTCTGCCCTTCTTCCCAGCATCCTCCTAGTCTGCTCTCCCGCCCCGTGTCTTCCTGTCCAGCTATAGACCAGTCAGTTCTGTATTAACCAATGAGAGTGATCCATGTTTACAGCATACAAAGATTGCTCCACCGCATGGGGTGGCTGGGGAGATGGCCGAGTGGTTAAAAGCACTGGCTGCTCTTCCAGAGGTTCCCAGTTCATCTCCCAGGACCCACACGACAGCTAACAACTGTCTGCAACTCCAGTTCGCGGTGACCTGACACCCTCACACTCACATACAGGCAGGAAAACACCAATGCACGCTAAATACATAACAGGTTGGGCCACCGAGCTGGCTCGTGTTAAGAGTGCTTGCTGCTAGAGGACCCAAGTCCAGGCCCCAGCACCCATGTCACGAGGCTCACGACTACCTGGAACTGTAGCTCCAGCTCCCTTTTGTGACCACTGCACATATCCAAACACACATGGCATCCATTCACACAGATCCGCCAATAAAAATAAAATCTCTGAAAGCTAAAGGATAGTTGTGTCCAGAGGAATGGCACTCACTGCCTGGTGTGATGCCTTGAGTTTGACCCATTGAACCCACATGACAGGAGAGAACCATTTCAGTTGCCCTCTCATCTCCAACCATAGACATTTTACATGAGAGGTTGGGATAGAGTTTTAATAAAAAAGGTGGCGAAAGGGCTGACGAGATGACTCAGCTCTGCCTGACGTTAGCGGCTCACCTTTAATCCCAGCGCTCCAGAAGCAGCCTGGTCTACAGTGAGTTCCAGGACCACCTCCGAAGCAAGACAGAGAAACCCTGTCTCAAAAAGCAATGGCTCAGCTCTTGAAGAGGCTCTGTTTTAGTTCCCAGCATTCCTGTCAGGCAGCTCACAGCTGTCTGTAACTCCAGCTCCAGGAGATTTAACACATCTAGCCTCTGTGGGTACCACACTCATGTGCACATACCTGTACACATACAGATGCATACATTTAAAAAATAATAAAAGCAAATCCTTAAAAGTAGAAAATTAGGCGGGGTGGTGGTGGCACACACCTTTAATACCAGCACTTGGGAGGCAGAGGCAAGTGGAACTCTGTGAACTCAAGGCCAGCCTGGTCTATAGAGTGAGTCCCAGGACAGACTCCAAAGCTACAGTGAAACCCTGTCTTGAAAAAAAATAGATTAGATAGATGTAAATGCAAACAGAAATACCCATGTATGTGAGTGACAGGACCCAGATGAAGCTCTGCTCCAATAGCAATTGCATAGCTAGAGCACAGGTGTGCCTTTTCCCCCCAATATATGTTTTTATTTAAATTAGAAACATGCATGCATCACATGTCAATCCCAGCTCCCTCTCCCCCCCTCCTCCTCCCTTGTCCTTCCACCAGTCCCTTCCAGTCCCCCACCCCATCCCCACATCATTCCCCAGGGAGAGTGAGGCCCTCCTTGGGGAACCTACAGGGTCTGCCATTTCATCCAAGGCAGGCCCTTCCCCATGTGTCCAGGCTGAGACAGCATCCCTCCATGTGGAATGGGCTCCCAAAGATCATTCGTACGCCATGGTAAACACTGCCCAAGGCCCCAGAGATTTCTGAGGCCTCCTCACTAACACTGCATTCGTGGAGTCTGGATCAGTCCCATGATGGCCTCTCAGCCATCAAACAGGTGTACCTTTTAACACCTGTCTATGCTTAAAAGATTTAGCTTCCTCCCTCCCTTCCTCCTTCCTTTCTTTTCTTCTCAAAGGTTTCCTGAAGAAGTGCTGCTCCCAGGACTCACATAGAAGGATGGAGATGCTTCCAGATTAAGGAATGCTTATAGAATGAGAGTGTCATAAAAAATACAAAAAAAGAGGCTCACATTTTAGTATCAGAATAAGGACAGTGATGAGTTGTGACCCTTGGATTATCATAATCCAGGAGTGTATATTAACATAAAGAGAGATGGAATGTGGAGGAAATTTCTCTGCCCCAGAGGAGCAACTAACAGGTACAGCAGGAAGAGTGGAATGAAAATCTCACCACGAAGCCGCTGTCCTTACTAATTAGACCAAGAGTCATCAGTGGATGTTAACACCACCGGTGGAAGCTTGATGAGTGACAGGGCGCATGTGTGACCTCAGAGTACCTCAGACATTGGCTAACAACAAAAGCAGTAACAGAACTGTATGATAAGGAAATGTGACCGACAACACCTGAGCCGAGTTACCAGCAGGCACCACGCGGCACTGCGCAGACTCCGTGCTCCTGCTCGCACCACACTGAGAAGCAGAGCGGTGACTGGTGTGTGGCAAACTAGGCAGCGTGGCTGGCTCTGCCCTAGCAGGGACCTGAGAAGCAGTGCTTTGCCTGCTAGGCACCTGTGCTGACTGCTCGGTCGTTTGCTGTTTGTTTGTTTGTTTGTTTGTTTGTTTTTTCTGACTTGACACAAGCTAGAGCCGTCTGGGAAGAGGGAACCTCAACTGAAAAAAATTCCTACATCTGATTGGCCGTTAGGCAAGTCCATGGGGGCATTTTCTAGATAAATGATTGATGTAGGAGTGGCCTGCTCGCTGTGGCCTAGTCGCCCCTGGGCAGGTGGTCAGGCTGACCAAGTCACAGGAAGAAGCCGGCAAGCAGCCTTCCTTTATGGCCCTCAGTTCCTGCTTCTGGGTTCCTGGCCTGGCTTCCCTCAGAGATGGAAGTCAATGCAGACCCTTTCCTCCACGGGCGGCTTTTGGTCAAGTGTCCATCTCGGTGACAGAAAGCAGACTGGGAAACTAGGTCTGCTGACAAGAGCACAATCCAGAAATTGTCCCAGACAAAAATGTGTGACTTGAGTGTACTCATGACGTAAGGCCAGACAAGCCCCAAATGAAGGGAAGTCTACAAGATGTCTGTCTCCTACCCTCGAATGTCATAGGAAGCAAGGAAGGAAGGGAGAAAGAGAGAGAGAGGAGGGCTGAGGATAGCACTCTCCTAACATGCAGAAGTTTTGGTACCCAGCACAGAAAAGAAAAACAAGAGATGAATGAAGAGGAGGAGGAGAGGGGGAGGAAGAGGAAAGGTCATCTGGGCGTGGTAACACACACCTGATACACTCGCTCAAGAGGCTGAGGCAGGAG